AAACTGCAAAATATTGTTGAAATAAATTAAAGGAGATTGAAATGAATGGAAAGATATCCTGTGTTTATGAGAGACAATTGAGTTTTGTGTGCTGATCTTGTATCCTGCAACTTTGCTTCGAATGTTTTTAGGAATTGGTCCTTTTCAACTAGGTTATCTAACTTTTGGATGTACAGTTGTTCATGTAATTCTCATGATCACTTTTTATTTCTGCAAGGTCATTAGTAATGTCTTCACTTTCTAGAAATTTGAGTCTTCCTTTTTTTCTCACTTAGATCTAGCTAGAGTTTTGTGAATTTTGTTAATATTTTCAAAGAACTAATTTTTTGTTTTGTTTGTTCTCTCTATTGTTTTTCTATTCTTTATTTTGTTTTTCTATGCTCTAATCTTTATTTTCTTTCTTTCTGCTAGCTTTAGCTTTAATCTGCTCTTCCTTCTTATAGTTCATTAAGGTGAAAGTTTAGGTTATTGATTTGATATCTTTCTTCTTTTTTTTTTTTTTTTTTAATCCTCACCCGAGGATATTTTTCCGATTTTTGTACAGATAGAGTGGGAGGGAGAGAGAGGAAGGGAGAGAGAGAGAGAGAAACATCGACGTGAAGGGACACATCGAGTGGCTGCCACCCGCACGACCAACCAGGGCCGGGGACAAACTGCAACCGAAGTACGTGCCCCTAGCGGGAACCGAACCCGGGTCTCTCCGGACCGCAGGCCGACGCTCTAACCACTGAGCCAAACTGGCCAGGGCGATATCTTTCTTCTGTCAGCTCAGTATTTATAGGTATACATTTCTTTCTGAGCATTGCTTTTACTTGATTCCATAAGTTTTGGTATGCTGTGTTTTTGTTTTTATTTATCTCATTGTTTTTTCAATTTACCTTGTGATTTCTTCTTTATCCATAGGTTGAGTGTGTTGTTTAATTTTCATCTATTTGTTAATTTTCCAAATTTTTTTTTTTGTCAGTGAGTTCTAGTTTCATTCTGTTGAAATACACTCTCTATGGTTATAATCTTTTAAAATTTACTGAGACCTGTTTCATGGTCTAACATATTGTCTGTACCAGAGAATGATCCATGTGAACTTAAGAAGAATATGTTTTCTGTTGTTGTTGGGTGAGATAATCTGTGTATGCCTGTCAGGTTTAATTGGTTTATAATATTGTTCAAGTCCTCTATTTCTTTATTGATTTTCTTTTTAATTGTTCTATCTATTGTTGAAAGTGAGGTAGTGAAGTCTTCAACTCTTATTAAAGTATTTATTTTCTAATTCTGTTAATTTTTGCTTTATATATCTTAAGTTTTTGTTGTTAGGTATGCATGTCTATAACTGTTATATATTCTTGAGGCATTGACCATTTTCTGAATACATAATGTCCTTCTTTGTCTCTTATAAAATAATTTTTACTTAGTCTGTTCCATCTGATATCAATATAGCCAACTTTGCTCTCTTTTGTTTACTATTTGCATATCCCTTTTTATAATTTCACTTTAACCTAGATGTGTCTCTGGATCTAAAGTGAGTCTCTTGTAGCCCTGGCCAGTTTTGCTCAGCAGTTAGAGCATCAGCCCACAGACCAATGAGTCACGGGTTCGATTCCAGTCAAGGGCACATACCTCGGTTGCAGGAGGCAATCAGTCGATGTATCTCTCTCACATCTATGTTTTTCTTTTTCTTCCTCCCTCCCACTCTATCTGATGATAAATGGAAAAATATCCTCAGGTGAGGATTAAAAAAATAAATAAATGTTTTAAAAAAATAAAGTAAGTCTCTTGTAGATAGCATGTATGTGGATTATGGTTTTTTAAAAAATTTTTCTCATAATCTCTGCCTTTGGAGAGTTTAATCCATTTATATGTAAAGTAATTGCTGATATGAAAAAGCTTAATTCTGCCCTATTGCTATTTGTATTTTATATCTTAAATCTTTTTGGTCCTTCAGTTCCTCCATTACTGCCTTCTTTTGTGTTTGATTTTTTTTTTTTTTGTAACATGATATTTTTATTGATATGTTTATCTGGATATCTTCTCATTTTCTTTTCTCCCTATTTTTAAGATATTTTCTTAGTGGTTGCCCTGATATAATGGCTTGAATAGTGTTTGCCAAAAATTCATGTTCACCTGAAACCTCAGAATGTGACCATATTTAGAAATAGGGTTTTGTAGATGTAATTATTAAATTAAAATGCAACCATATTGACTTAGTGTGGGCTCTAATTTAAGAAGAGAAAACCAAGTCACACAGAGTAATTAAGGCCATGTGATGACTGAGATAGAGATTATAATGATGCATCTATAAACCAAGGAATGCCAAAGATTCCTGATAACTGCTAGAAACTAGGAAGAGGCAAGGAAGGAGATTCTTCCCCAGAGCCTCCAAAAGCATGTCCCTGTCAACACCTTGCTAGTCTCCAGAACTGTGAGAAAATCAGTTTCTGCTTTTCAGGTGGCCCAGTTTGTGGACTTAATTACAGTATCTCAAGAAACTAATATACTCGTTTATTACAACTGACAACAAAGTGGTTTGAATTAATACTAACTTAGTGTTAATGGTATACAAAACTCTGCTCCTATACAGCTTATTTCTCCTCCTTTATGTTGTTGTTATCACGAATTACATCTTTATATAGACATATGCCATTAACATAGATTTACAATTATTATTTTATGCCTTTGCTTTTTCAAATCATATAGGAAAGAAAGATGAATTATAAACCCAAAATACTATAATACTGGCTTTTGTATTTGCTTATATAGTTACTTTACTGGTGTCCTTATCTTTCCTTTTCTTTTTCTTTTTTTTTTTATCCTCACCCGAGGATATTTTTCCATCTTTTGTACAGATAGAGTGGGAGGGAGAGAGAGGAAGGGAGAGAGAGAGAGAAACATCGACGTGAAGGGACACATCGAGTGGCTGCCACCCGCACAACCAACCAGGGCCGGGGACAAACTGCAACCGAGGTACGTGCCCTTAGCGGGAACCGAACCAGGGTCTCTCCGGACCGCAGGCGGACGCTCTAACCGCTGAGCCAAACTGGCCAGGGCTCTTTTTCTTTTTTTGCATGTCTTTGAATTACTATTAAGTGTCCTTTCTTCTCAGCCCGAAGGACTCCTTTTAACATTTCTTGTAGTGGTGAACTTCCTCACACTTTGTTTATCTGGAAAGGTTTTTTTTGTTGTTGTTAATCCTCACCCAAAGATATTTTCCCATCTATTTTTAGATAACGAGGGAGGGAGGGAGGGAGGGCGAGGGCGAGGGCGAGAGCGAGAGCGAGAGCGAGAGCGAAACATCAATGTGAGAGAAACACATTAATTGGTTGCCTCCTGCATGATGCTGACTTGTGCTGGGGATCTAACCTGCAACACAGGTATACGCCCTTGACTGGGATTCAAACCCATGACACTTGGGTCATTAGACAAATGCTCTAGCCGCTGAGCCAAACCAGCTAGGACTATCTGGAAAGTCTTAATTTCTCCTTCATTTGAAGAAAAAATTATTTTTATCAATTTTTAGAGAGAGAGGAACGGAGAGAGATAGAAGCGTCAGTGAGAGAGAGAAACATCGATTGACTGCCTCCTGTATGGCTCCTACTTGGGATTGAGCCTGCAACCCAGGCATGTGCCCTGACTGGGAATCGAACCCGGACCTCTCAGTCCATGGGAAGATGCTCAATCCACTGAGCCACACTGGCTGGGCTTCTCCTTCATTTTTGAAGGATAGTTTTACTTAATATAGAATTCTTGGTTGACAGATTTTTTTCCTCTTTCAGCTCTATAAATATCCCACCATAGTGCCTTTTGTCCTTCATGGTTTCTGATGACAAATTGGCCATTAATCTTATTGAAGATCCCTCGTACATGACAAGTCTCTTTTCTCTTGCTGCTTTCAGGATTCTCTGTCTATTGGAGTTTTGGTAATAATGTGTCTCAGTGTGATGTCTTTGAATTTATCCTTCTTGAAATTTGTCAAGCTTCTTGAATGTGTAGATTGGTGTCTTTCATAAAATTTGGAGACTTTTCATCCATTATTTATTTAAATATTATTTCTGCCCCATTCTCTCCCCCATCTTCTGGGGCCCTTGTTATGCATGTGTTGGTCAACTTGATAGTCTCCCACAGGTCTTCCAGTTTCTGTTCTTTTTTCTTCATTCTTTTTTTCCCCCTCCTGCCTGAAATGGGATAATTTTAATTGCTCTCTCTTCAAGTTCACTGATATCAAGTTCACTGCCAATCTACTGATAAATTCATCTAGTGAATTTTTAAATTTTATTTATTATACTATTCAGCTTCAGAATTTCTATTTGGTTATTTTTTATAATTTCTGTTAATTACTTTTTTTTTTTTTATCAGTTTGTGGAAAGGATTAAGAGGATGGACCCTAGAGCCAACCAATGAAATTTTTTCTGTCTGGGGTACTTCTGAAATTCTTGCAAACAAGATAGTATCTTCCCACACCATATCCCTCTAATTGGGACCAATGCTTCTTGGTAGTAAGTGAGCAGATGGATATTGACTAGATTGGTCAGAAGGGGAGGCAGCCTGACAGCATTAGAAATATCAATGGCCTCAGAGTTGAGATACTGGCTTTACCACTTCCCTGTGGTGTGATATGAGGTAGACCATTCCTTTGCACCATGAATTTCTCATCTGTAGGGTGATCAACTCATCCTGGTTTGCCCAGGATTTTCCTGACTTTAGCAATGACAGTCCTACCTCCCAAGAACGCCTCAGATGCAGGGAAACCCTATTCATATGTGAGATGGAGATGATAATATTTACCACAGGGTGGTTGTGAGGAATAGAAAGAAGATACAGAAAATCACCATAGTACAGTCTGTTCCACAGTCATTTAGTTGTTGTGCAAGGTGCAGGGAGTGTCTTTGAAAACTGGGAATGATGTACCATTTAGCTAACAGTTAGACTTGTAGACTTGCTTTCCACGGGACATCTGAGAACAGAATCTGGAGAGATTTTTGTTAGTTCAACTTAACCATTTCTGCCAGCTATCCCTCCGGAAACATTGCCATTTGTCAGATCCCCACGTGCTGCAGAGGGAGAACCATCACCTGCCTCTTTAATGACACACCCAACTTCTCCTTCCTGGCCCTGTTCACTGCTGAAGGCCAGGGCTGCGTTCACTACAACCTAAAGGCCCGGTGAGTGGGTTGGAGGAATTATGGTCCCATGCAAGTATCTCTGGGGGTGACAAAGGGGGGCACTGAGGTGACAACTAGGGGGTCCCTGGGGAAAGGAAAGGCCAGGCAGTGTCCAGAAGTTTAGGAAGGCAGTAAGGCAGTGTTTGCAGAAACATAAGTACTTTGAGGCCCTCACTTGCTGTATCTATATCATAGCAAATAAGAATGGCAACTCTCATAGACCTACTCCACTTATATCCCCACAGCACTAAGACCTTGACTGTTGGTTAGATTCACTGAACAATTCTTTAGTGGAGAGAAATGTTTTATACCAAGAGAGAGTGAAGGAGAGGCCATGGACACCACTTCTGTGGGGTGTTTTAAAAGAAGCACATATTTTTGCCAGCCAATAGTTGATTTTGCCTGGCCTTTCATAAGGAACTATTCTTGGAAGACATGACTTACTTTTGTGTTATAGATGTTCCCATTTTGGTGCCTAAGATCTTGTATACTCAGGTTCCTGGGCAACAGGGCACACGTTCTGTTTCTGTCCCTCTTGGGTTTGGCCTGAGCCTCCATCATCTCCCTCAGACCTGCCCTTCCCAACAGATTTTCCCATTAGCATCAACAGGTGTGAAGGGGCCTCAGACAATATTAGGCAAGAGAAGTGAGGCTGCCTGCAGGACACCATGCTCTCTCCAGCTGGGGCAGAGTCTCAGAGCCCTGCCTACCTATAGCCAGTAGTAATGAGGGCATCCTTCAGGCGCCTAGTGCCAGCTCCTCATCTATGTGTCTCTCCTAGCTGCCCATATGTCTTGATCTTGGATGAGGAAGGCGGGACCACCAACGACTACAAGGGCTATACAGTCCACAAGTGGAGCTGGGCTTCTAAGACAGAGACTTTGCTCTCCCTGGAATATAAGGTAGGGGTTGACAGCACAGGTGGGGTGGCCTTGGCAGCCTTCCCTGGTCTGCTCAGCATCAAGAGCCAGAGGACTATCTGTAAGACAAGATCTCTACTCTCCAGGAGATTATAGTCTCATTCATTAGTTCCCAAGTTGGTGGGCAGTGGTCCAGGGCTGGCTAATGTGAACTTTTCACCAGCCTACAACAACTGTTGGCTGCTATATATACTGACCTTTCTTGGCAATATCCTTCCTATGTTATTTTTTATTATTAATATTACACTTGATAGTTTAAATGTCCTTTATTTTAGGAAGTAACCATTATAGTAGTTGATAGTTTTATTTTTAATGCCTATACATGGCAATAAGAAAAGTTAGCAATTCTATGTTGGTCTCCTCAGTTTTTGTTTCTATAACTTTACTACCTGTGAACTTAAAAAATATGGCAGTCAAAGGTGGCTGATAGACCCAAACCCTTTTTTCTTTCACTGGGTTGTTCAGACAGCCATCAATCTATTTATTCAATTAATTTATTATTAATGTTGAATTGTTAATATTAAATTTAAGTTACTAATAAAGCAATTAGGTGTGCTTGTCCCTTTAAGCCTGAGTTTCTCATCCTTAGTTCTACTGATATTTGGGCATGGATAATTCTTTGTTATAACTGCGCAGGATATTTAGCAGCATCCCACTAGATGCCAGTAGTACACCCTCCTCTGGTTGTGACAACCAAAATATATCACCGGACGTTGCCAAATGTCCCTGGGGGACAAAACTGACTCCGATTGAGAATAATAAGTTAGGGTATATAAAGATGAACAAAACCCCTTGAGGAATTCAAATGTCTGGGCGGTGGTTAATAAGAACACAAGGTGAAGAAGAATAAGGGCTGTGAAGAGGGACAAGCTCATAGGGTTGGGATTTAGAGGAAGATCACAGAACATAGAATCCACCCAAAGTGGCCTGAAAATAAGAGCCCCAAGGTAAGGATTATGGATAGAAGCACTCTCGGAGTGCATGGAGGGGTTCAAGCATCTTATACCCAATTTCCGGTCTCCTGCCCTTCCTATTTATCTTCTACATTGGCCACTGCATTCTCATCCTTATATCCTGATTCCTTTAGATCAGTGAACCTCTGCTCAGAAACATTCCATCTCAACTTTCCTACCCACCTCCCCAACACCGGTCTGAAATGTACCCACTCTCTTCTCTACCAACCCTAAATTTTCTCCTTCAACCCTCTGTTCGGACTTTCCCTTCTTTGTGGCATCCCCACCCCATACCCATTTCTCTCTTCTCACAGAGCCCACAGTCTAGATTAGTCATTTGACTAGTCATGCAATGGAGAGGTTCTCAGGTCTGGTTGCATATCAAAATCACTTATGGGACTTAAAAAATGTGTATTTCCAGGCACATTTCCAGAGAGATTCTGATTCAGTTGATCTGTTATGAGTTCTGGATTTTGAAGTTTTCATGAGTATTTTTGATACTTGGTCAGGTTCAAGACTTTCAATCTAGCGGTATATTGAGTTGTTGTCTTAAAATTTAACTTTTTGTAGCTGTATGATAAATTTATAATGCAAGAAGATTATAAATTGATTGCAGGCAGTCACCATGTGCTGTGTATCAGCATGGCCAAGTGGACAGAGAACTGGGATGAGAGTCTAAGGATCCAAGTACTAGTGCCAGTTTTTCTGGACTCTGGTTGTGCAGCTTTGTGAAAACCACTCAGTTTCTCTGACCTTGGTTGTCTCACCTATACAGGGTGGGTCACCAGACCTGCTCTCCTGCCTCAAACTGCTTTTGTGAGAACTAAGTGAAATAATGGAGGGGAAGGGCTTTGGCATCACTAAAATGTTTTAGCAATGTATTTCAGTTTATTGTTCTGATCCTTGGAGCTGCATAGAGAGATACACAATAGGGCCTGGAGCAGTCAGGAGTGGCCTGGAAGACAGAATATCCCTTGAGTCGTAACATGAGTTTGTATGCATATGATTTACATAGATAGAGAGAAAGAGGAAGGGAATTTTGGGTAGAGGGAGTAGCATCTGTAAAGGCTGAAGTTAGGACTCAGTGTGGTATTTTTAAAAGTTCACAAGTGTCTCTTGTGAAAGAAATGGGACCAAGAGGTGTATATGTTATGGTGTGAAGGTGAGAGGTATTAGATGTCAGGCTGAGGGAGTGTGCATGCTCTCTTGGACGCAGCAGTGGTCAGTTTGTTTTTACCCAGTGTAGCATTTCCAGTTTTCTCATTCCTCCCTAAAAATCCAGGTTTCTTTCTGGTATAATTTCTTTTCAGCCCAAAGAACTTCCTTTAGCATTTTTTGAAGTGTAGATCTGTAGGCAACATTTTTTTTTTTCTTTCATGAGAAAGTAATGTCTTTATTAAAGGATATTTTTGCTAGATCGAGAATTCTGGGTTAACTGTTTTTTGTTTTTTTGTTAGCAATTAAAGATGTTATTCCACTGTGTCTGACCTCCACAGTTTTGTGGGGGATTTGGAGAGAGAGAAACTTTGATTTATTTTTCCACTTATTTATGCATTAATTGGTTGATTTTTGTATGTGCCCTGACCGGATATCAAAACCACCACCTTAGTGTATCCAGATGATGCTCTAACCAACTGAACTACCCAGCAAGGGCTTGATCTCCATAGTTTATGATCAGAACTCTGTAGTTATTCAAATCATTGTTCATCTTCTCTAGCTGCTTTCAAGATTTCTTCTTGTCTTTGATTTTCTAAATTTAGATATGATATGTCTAGGTGTTGTTGTCTTTTTAATTATTCTGTTTGGGATTTATTAACTTTCTTGAATCTGTAAATTCATGTCTTTCACTATATTAAGAAAATCTTACATTAGAAAAAAATTGTACTCCAGTCTCTCTCCTTTTCTTCTGAGACTCCAATTACATGTATTTTAGACTTTTTAAATATTGTTCCAAAGATCCGTGAGGCTCTTATTTTTTGTTATTCTTTTCATTTTTTTCTCTTTACTTTTCATATTGATAATTTCCCTGGATCTGTCTCTAAATTCACTGACTTTTTCTGTCATCTCCCTTCTAGTATTATGTTAATCCTATGGGTTTTTTTTCCAGCACAGGAGGAAGGGAGAGAGAAACACTGATGTGAGAGAGAATCAATTGGTTGCTTCCTATTCATGCCCCAACTGGGGACCAAACCCACAACCTAGGTATGTGCCCTGACCTGGAAGTGAATCCATGACTTTTCGGTTCATGGGATGATGTTCCAATCAACTGAGCCACACCGGTCAGGGCATATGAAAATGTTAAATTTCAGATAGTGTTTTCAGTTCTATAATTTCCATTTAGTTCTTTTCTGTATTTTCTATTTCTGATATTTTATATTTTTTACACTCATTGTAAGTATATTTTCTTTTACCTCATTGAATATAGTTAAATTAGCTGCTTTAAAGTCTTTGATAATTTCAACACCTGAGTCATATCTGATAGGATTGGCCTCCATTGGTTATCTGTTGCCTTGAGAATGGCTCACACTTCACTATTTCTTCACATGTTGAGTAATTTTGACTGTGACATTATGAATTTTATGTTGTGGAGTCTCTGGATTCTGATGTATTTCTCTGAAGAGTGTTGATGTTTTTGTTTAACAGGCAAGGAACTTGGTTAAATTCATACCACAAACTTTGTTTTCATCTACAGTGGGCAGCAGCTTAAATCTCAGTTCAGTTTTCTTGTTTGTTTGTTTCCCCAGCTATAAGCTGTCATGAGTCTGCCCTGCTCATGCATAGTCAGGAATCAGCCAGAGGTGTGGACAGTTTATTCATAGAATTTGGGGCTCTATTTTTCTCACTCTGTCCTTTCTGGAAATTTTTTCTTACTTTTTTTGTGACTATAGTTGCCCCAGGTTCTGTCCTTTGATTCTTTGAACCAGAAAAATGATGGAATTTGGGCCATGACTATGGCCTTTCTTCAGGCTAAAGCTGTGAAACAGAAATTCATCCCATTGCTGGTCCTTTCCCTTAAGTAAAATCTACCTGCTCTTTTTTTTTTTTTTTTTTTTCTTTATTGATTTTAGAGAGAGAGAGGAAGGGAGAGGGAGAGAGAAATAGAAACATAGATGAGAGAGAACATCAATTGGCCACCTCCTGCATGCCCCCCACTGGCGATTTGGCCCACAACCTGGGCATGTGCCCTGACCAGGAATCGAACCAGCAACCTCTTGGTACATGGGTCGATGCTCAACCACGGAGTCACACCAGCCTGCTGCTTGCTCTTTTTAAACTCTTCATAGCTTTGGGTGGTTTTGTCACTTGTAGGAGTTTTTTGGGTGTTTTTTCCAAGCCTCTTGGGAGCTGACTCAGCTATACTGGAAATAGAACTAGCTAGCTAGTTTTTAAGCTGAGGGCTGGCGTGCTAGTCTAGCATTTGTGTGGAAGATCAGCTGGAAAAGGAAAGATCAATGGATAGGCTTATAGAAAGACTGGGTGAGGTTTACTAGCCAGACCTGGCATGATTAAGGTAGTAGCAATATTTTTAAAAAGAGCCATATATATATGGCTGGCTCATGAACTCCTGAGCAGACAAGCAATGACTGAGTTTGTATTCGGGGCACTGAGGAGAGGAAAAGAAACCACCCAGGGAGCAAGGATAATAAAAAGAGCTGTACCATGCTCAGCCTTTTGCATGAAATCTGCACTGTACCCTTGGAGACAGATTATATTATTGTCCCCAGGCACAGAGAAGGAAAGTAACTTGCCTAAAATTGCCCAACTGGTAAGTGACAACACTAGGATTTGAACCTTGACCAATTGCAGTGTTTGAGTTCTCACCCTCTGCTCTATTCTGCATCTCTCTAGAAGGAGAATTGGAGAGGGTAGGTTTCTCTTAAGTGAGAGTTTGATTAACAAGCTTGAGGCTATCAAAAGACTTGGCAAGAAGACAGCCATGGATCAAATGTTTTCAGGTTGCTGGAGTGACTAGCATCCAAATTTCAGAGTATGGGACTTCAGAGGAAGGGACTCTTTGGGAAGAAGTTAAATGTGAGCCTTTGAGCTAACAAGTGGAATAGTAGAAGGAATGAAAGGAGCGAAATGGAGAGTATTTTCTTAGTCCAGAGGAGTCCTGGGGTGTGTGTAGGTCAGGAACACTGAACACTGAAGGGAGCATCATCATGCAGCAGGCCTGTGGTAGGAACACTGTGCATAAATAACTGCACACATGAACCATCCAGGGGCCTTACATGTGAGTTGCTCTGCAACATCCTGACTATACCTGCTCATGTTTGGGATGGGCCTTTGTGGCTCACAAAGCCACTTCCATAATCTTTATCTCATTTGAACCTAATATTAGGCTTTCAACTGTTTCATATTGAAGAATTTGCACTTCAGAGAAGCTCGCTGGCTTGCTAACAGGAGGTAGAACTGGGACTTACCCCTAGACTACAGAGTTCTTAGTAAGGAGTAGTTGCTATAAGGGCAACTCACCCTCCTTGAAACTGCTACATAGGAAATCCCATCCTTTTGGAAATGGTGAAAAGCGATAGTTCCCTTGGTGGCTTCTCAGGGGAAGAGTGGTGATATATTTAGTGACTGTAGAAGAGGGGATTGAACATGTGTGGTTCGGCCCCCACTGGACTCCCTTTTGCCATCTTCCCACCCACTTGTGGAGAGGTATGTTCTGGTGCTCCCTGCCATATGGTCAGCTTCCCAAGGCAGCTCTGTGTGCTGTAGACTAAGCTTCGTCATTAGACCTGGTGCCTGGGTGGACACAGCATCTAATTTGGGGATAGTTTTGGCTTCTGACCCAAGTTGCACCCCCATATAGCTCTACCAGGACCGAAGCTGATTCACCTACCAGATTCCTGTGTCCCTTTCACAGTTGGTTCTAAGCTCAGGTTGAAAAGGGAAGGGGCAGGGGTAAGAAGGCATCAGTTATATTTTTTGCTAATCCCCCAAAGAGAGACTGAAATTCTTCTCTTCTCCATGAAAGCTAAATTTCAACATAAGAACAAGAAAGGTTTTGCACTTCCCTCAGTCCCAAGCCAAGAGAGGTTTTGTGCTTTGTGGTGGGTCGGGGGGTCAGGGGACAATAGAAGCAGGGGTCTGCTGAGTACTGGTTTTTTTATCTGCAGGTGAATGAGCAAATGAAGCTGATGGTGCTGGGGCAGGACTCCATCGTGGTCACCTTCACCTCCTTGAATGAGACAGTCACACTCACTATATCAGCCAACAACTGTCCCCATGGGGTAGGGCATGATAAAAGGGTAAGGCAAAGCAGACCAGGCACCCAGGTTTGACTCCAGGGTATCTCAACATGTCTTGCCACTCTACATCTCAATGCCTTTGTGCCTCCTAGCCCCCCAACCCCTGCCACACACACACAACTGCACCCCATGCAAGATCCTCCCTCTTCTCTGCCTAATGGATTCTTACTCATCATTCACTGACTGACCTTAATACCTTCTCTGTGAAACTTCTATCAGTTAGGAGTCTTTTAGTTGTGACAGAATCCAATGCAGACTGGCTTAAGCATGAAAAGAGACTATATTGGCTCTGTAAACTGAAGTCTGTCAATAGGCAGCTTAGGCATGGCTGGATCCATCAGACCTTCCTACCTCTTGGCTCTGCTTTTTTATTTTTGGGAGGTTTTGTCCTTATGGTGACAAGATAGTCATGAGCATTTCTGGGCTCATTATTCTATCAGCTTTGGTCTCCCCAGGAGAACAGGGACTTCTATTTCTTAAGTGCTCCAGTAGAAGTGCCTATACCAATATCATCAACTCTGTTGGATGCCCAGGCCTGAAATGTTTCCTGTGGCCAGGAGTGTGTTGCTCTCACTGATCAGGCTCAAGTGTCATGTCCATCTTGGGAGCCATGGATTGCGATCAGCCCCAGGTGTAACACCTGTGCATTATTTACAATGGCCAAGATCTAGAAGCAGCCCAAGTGCCCATCAGTAGATGAGTGGGTTAAAAAACTGTGGTGCATTTACATAGAGGAATACTACTTGGCCATAAAAAAGGAGGAAATCTTGCCTTTTGCAACAGCATAGATGGACCTGCAGAGTACTATGCTAAGTGAAATAAGCCAGTTAGAGAAAGACAAATACCATATGATTTTATTTATATGTAGAATCTAATGAACAAAATAAACAAAATAGAAACAGACTTATAGACAGAAAACAGATTGACAGCTGTCAGAGGGGAGGGGGTTAGAGGGCTATGTGAAAAAGGTGAAGGGATTAAGCAAAAAAACAAAACAAAACAAAACAAAACCCAACTCATAGACACAGACAACAGTATAGTGATTACCAGAGGGAAAGAGTGTAGAGGAGGGTAAAAGGGGAATAAATGGTGATGAAAAGAGACTTGACTTTGGATGGTGAACACAAAATACAATATACAGACTATGTATTATAAAATTGTATACTTGAAAACTATATAATTTGATTAACCAATGTCATCGCAATAAATGTCATTCAATAAAAATTTAAAAATAAATAAAGGTCATTGTTAAGTGATTAAGTATGTATGAGGGCACATGTCTGTGTTTCTTGATAATCTTTTTAGATTGTGTAAAAAAAATGTGAGTTTACTTATCAAAGGCAATAGGTATTAGAAAATTATTCTTTCCCATAAAATTGCAGTAATGCTTTGTTTGCCTGGCAACCTTTTGTCTGGTAATCTCTGATTGAAACACAGCTGAGAGCTGAGACATAAGGAGCTAAAGACCCCCATGAACAGCCAAGAGAAATCACTCTTATCCATGAACTAAACATGCCCACTAGGCCTAGGAAAGCCCCTTAGCAATTCAAGACTGACTTTTTTTCTTACCTAACTGCAACCTTAGCAAGATAGAACTAGAAATCTAGAGCTGTGATGTCCAGTATTAGTAACCATGAGTTACAAATGGCTATTGAGCACTTGCAGTGTGTCAAGTCCAATGGAGATGGGCCATAAGTGAAAATACATGCTGCATTATCAAGACTTCATATGAAAAGACAATGTAAAAATTTTTATTATTTATTTTGGTTCCATGTTGAAATAGTCATATTTTATATAGCGGGATAGAGAAATATGTCATTAAAATTAGTTCTACCTTTTAAGAATGTTTTTAATGTGGCTACAGGAGTGTTTCAAACTGCTCATGGAGCTAGCGTTATATTTCTACTGGACTATGTAGGTCTAGGAAGCCAAGTCTTTGTAAAGGAAGCTCCCAGAGGCACTGACAGTGCAGTAGAGACTGGAAAGTGATTGAAAAGGCATCGTAACTCAGAGAACGTAACCATCTTAGGGACATTTAGCATAGGGATAAACAGACATTAAAACAGCTTCTGAAAACAATACTGCATTCTGACAACAGTCATTGATGTTGACCAAGACTGACTTGCCAAAAAGCATCCAGGTCATAATTCCTTCTGTTTGAGAGCACAGGGAGGTGTAATATTTATTACAACTCCCTAACTAGACAACAGCAAATGAAAAAAGATCATGTTTATTGTAGGTAACAGGATTTCCAAACATTGACCTTAATTGCCAGGTTAAGCATCTCAAAATATTTTTACATGAAATCCTTGAGGCTCAGAGAATTGCTTCCTTTGGATTCTTGGACCATGAGAACAGCAAGAAGCCCTTGAGAAAATTTGCTGAGTGTGGGGGCTGGCCAAGAGCCTCAGCTAGGAAGGAGCCATAGGGCCTTGGGAAGGCGAGCCCTCAGTTTCTGCGTCTGTATCATGATGTGTCAGGGTCCACCCAGCTTTCACACACTGCCATCCAGGGACCTTTACAACTCATTCAAGTACATCCTGTCTGTGTGTATTCGGGGCTAGTTATCATTCATCAGCAAAATCCATGGCAGTCTAGGAAAGCTGAGGGTGAGGGGTAGAGTGGCATCCTCCCTCGAAGTCCCTGTCACTGGAAAGCTTGTTAAATGGCTTCCCTAGACACCCATCTCCCTGGAAGAAGAGCGACAGGCAGAATGGCAGTTCCAGCTTTTACGGCCCTGCGGCCTGGCTCCTCACTAAATATTTCTATCAAGGCAGCACTTTGGAAGCGAGGCAATGCCTCAATTTAAATGCTTTATTAGCCCAGAGTGCTGCCTCAAATCCTTTTTGGAAGCAGGCTTGGTATAAATTACAAATAAATAAATAAAATTAGCCCAGAAGCGGCAGCTGGGGCCAGCACTTGGAAGGATGGTTGAGGTTTTGCCATTAATTGGGGCATCCTTTACAGAAGTCCTGCCTGCGGGGTAAAGAGGGACATGTGGGCTGGCTTCATTGTTCTTCAGAAAACCTGTCCACTGCCCACCCCACTCTCTCCACCTGAGGCTTCAATTCCACAGAAGAAAAATCTCTTTCACACCTACTCTGTGTAAAGTGAGAGATGTAGAAGGCATGGTTTCTGCCTTTAAGGGGCTGACCGAGTTAAGGATAAAGAAGATAAAAAATGACAAGGACCCAGGGCAGAAAGGACAGGAATAGGCAAAAGTGCAGGTTTAGCATGAACAGCAATTGCTGCTGGCTGAAGAAATCGGCTTTCTGGAGAAGGAGTCAAACCCTGACTGCCATTAACTCTGGAATCTGAGCCTGGTTCTGCAGCAGCTCTGGCACCAGGAGTGGTTGAACTGCAGGGCACCCCCAGCAATCCTCACCACCTTACAGGGGGCCCCAGAGTCAGAATAGCTGCTCAGGGTAACCCCTGGGCCTTTGTGCTTAGAGGTAATTGTCAATCTAAGTAAACCTGGCCAAGGGGAGGTTTTCGGCTGAGATGCTCTGGCAGCTGGAGGGAGGAAGAGAGTTCCAGAGGTTGCGTACAGAGGGGAACTGACTCCAGAGAGGCCTTTATCCATTGTTATTCATAATGCAACAAGCATTAATTGAACACCTTCTGCATGATGGGCACTCAGACAACGAAGGAGACCAAGACTCACTCCCTGTCCTCTAGGAACTTACAGTTCCATGGAGGAGACAGGCTCAGATGCATTCAATTACTTCATAAAAGGCTAACTTCTGTCTTCAGGCTGCATGATGATGTGGATCCAAGGCAAAAAATAGTTCTGCCCAGTAGAATCAGGGAAAAGCCTGGAAATATCCAAGGAGGGGATATTTGAGTCAGGTTGGGTTGGTGTGCCAGAATTTACTGGGCTGAGGGGGAGAGGTGTGTCCTAGACAGAGGGGACAGCACATCCTTCAAGTCAGAGCAAGGCCTGGGTGTCACTGGTCTGGGCAGACGGCCCCTGGCAGGACAGGTGACAATGCCCTCCCCTTGGCCTCTCCCCAGGTGACCCACAAGATCGGCAGCATGGATGACAAGATGTCTAAGATGAACCGAGCTCTGGCAGAGATCAAGAAGCGGTTTCAGAAGACAGTGTCTCAGTTCATGAATTGTGTCTTACTGGCAGCAGGTAAGGGGAAGAAAGGTGGGTGACAGCCTATCGGTGGCTTTCCGAACCCTGAGTTACCTGCAGATCCTCTCCAAGGACAGCTCTTTACCACCCTAGGGAGGCAGGTATGACTGGGAGATTTTCCCATGAGTAGATGGGATTGCTCAGTGCTGAAGGGACTTGCTAATAATGGTGACGTTCACTGTTCTCAATTTTTTAGTGCTCTCCCATGTGTCTTTAATGTCTCCACGTAATTATCTTATTTTCCTGGGTCTTATCATCTTTCTGTTTGTCTCTCTGTCCCCGCCCCACACCTGGTTCACCTTTTAGCTTCATCTACTATCATGTCCATCATCCATTTACAGCCCCATTCCTCTATTTTTGTTATGGAAGATCTCAGCAGAGGAGAAAAAGCAGCCACCTCGCCAGGCTGTTTCGGTAGGCCCACAGAGCTCCCCGGGCCAGCATGGGTAGCCTCAGGAAACCCTTCCATATCTGGACTCTCCACACTGCTCATGAGCCTGGGGACACAGGAACAGTGACACACACCCCTGCCCCACATCACTCCATGGCTGGGCATGGAGGGCCTGTGCTCCCTCCATGGCCTCCCTGGGGTATTTCTCCTCATTCCCTAAAGACTCAGTTTAGCCCTGGCCAGTTTGGCTCAGCGGTTAGAGCATCGGCCTGCGGTCCGGAGAGACCCGGGTTCGGTTCCCGCTAAGGGCACGTACTTCGGTTGCAGTTTGTCCCCAGCCCTGGTTGGTCGTGCGGTGGCAGCCACTCGATGTGTCCCTTTCACATCGATGTTTCTCTCTCTCTGTCTCTTCCTCTCTCTCCCTCCCACTCTATCTGTACAAAAAATGGAAAAATGTCCTCGGGTGAGGATAAAACAAAAATTAAAAAAAAAAAAAAAATCAGTTTAACTGTGCCCCTTCTCTGGAAAGTTTTCCCAGCAGAATGGTCTGGGACACTTTCCTTTGAGCTCCACAGCACTTTATATGTGCTCTAATTATAAATCTTACTACCTAGCATTGTGAATATTTCTGCTTGCTCATCCCTCCTATACCGCCACTAGGAGTTTCCAGAGGCAGGGAGCCCTGTTTTGGGTGGTCTTTGTATGCCCAGCACCCAGCATTCAATAAATGGTAAGTGAATGAAGGAATGAGGGATCCTGGCCTCAGAAGTTTTTCAATTTAATAGGGGAAGTAAAATAAGAATGCAAATAAATATGATATGACAAAGTAGATGGAAATTACTTAAATCTGGAGGCACAGGGAACAGCATTCTCAGGGAAGGGAACAGCATGGATGCATTATGTACCCAGTCTCTACACTGAATACTGTGGAAGACACAAAGCTGATTGAAACACGGGCCCCTTGGAAGAAGAGGGATCTAAGGTGGGTATTGAGGAATGAATGGAAACGAGATTGATTCGTTCTTACATTCAGCCCGCATTTACTGATCCACTAACTACTAGGGTTGGAGCACTGTGCCAGACAACAGAGGGCAAGCAGGAAAATCTTCCAGAGTGAAGGAGTGGGAAGGGAGATGAGCTGAAGGGTGCCCACATGCGGAGCCTCACAGCAGGGAGGTAGGGCCAGGCCACCAGGGAGAGTAACAGCAGTGTCTTCTGTTAACAGGCCTGCTCACCATAGAATACCCAGTAAGGGAAGCAGCAGAAATAACTCAAACCAGAGTAAGATCCTGGTCTGTCCTCGAGCGGGGCACCAAGATAAGCCTATACGCAGGAGAAGGCCTTACATCACGGTATCAGTCAGCCATACCCGAAGCCTCAGCTGGAGAGTCTTTGAAGGAAGAGCTTGGGTCTGCTCCTGTGAGTCCCACTCAGAAGAAGACCATCAAGGTCCAAGCCAAAGCCCCAGTCACACCCAGGTGAGCTTGGGCCTTCCTTTCCTCCAGCTTCTGTGTGTCAGCTGCGTGATGGGTAGTAGACACACATTGGTGAAGAAAATAGATGAGGCTCCTTCCACTTGGAGCTGGAATTCTCGGGGTGGGGAAAAATAGAAGATAAGCACATGAATAACTGAAATCATTTAGATAATGAGAAGACTAGGAAGAAAATAAATTGGTGTAATAGGTTAGAGCAAATATTGGCGACTTAGGGCCATAAGAAAATCTGGCCCTGCGGCCTGCCTTTTTTATGAGTGAGCTCAGAATGGCTTTTGTTTCTAAATGCTTGCAGAGAAATAAAAAATAATTCCTCATGACATGTGAAATGATATGAAATTTGAATGCCAGATCCATAAGTAAGGTTTTCTTGGAATATGGCTACACCTACTCATTTACATATTATCTATAGCAGCTTACCCTACTAGGACAGAAGTCTTGAGTCTTTGTGACCCAGTCCATCTGGCCTGCAAAGATGAGAACATTTGCAGTGGTCCTTTCTAGAAAATGTTGAGCACCCCTGGGATGGAGCGTGACTAGGAGGGGGGGTGGGACATGGGACATTAGGTAGACAGGTCAGGAAAGGCAGTCCTGAGGAGTGATATTTAACTGGAGACTTGAAGGATAAGAAATAGGCAACCACGAGAGGGATGGGGAAGGAACATCAGGCAAAGGATAGAGAAAGAACAAAAGCCCTGAGACAAGAATTAGTTTGGTGTGCGTGAGGGAACGTAAAATGACAGATGTGGAGCCTCGCGATGAAGATGGGAGCGTTATACAAGTTGAGGATGGAGAGGTAGGCAGGAGCCAGATCAAGTGGACTTGTTAGTGTTATAGGAAGTCATTCCATTACTTTAAGACAAGACATGATATCATCTGATATATGAATTAGAAACAAAAGCTTAAAAAAAGATATATTTTATATTTTAATTTTTAAATTTTAAATATATATAAATTAAACACAGAAAAATGAACAAATCCCAAGTGTATAGCTCAATGAGCACCATAAAGTGAACATACCCTATTACCGCCAAGTCAAAAAATAGAACATTACTAGCTCCTTAGAAGTCCCTCCTGTCCCCTCACAATCAGTAACCCCATGTTATTCCAACAGAAAGATTTCTAATACCATAGGTTAGCTTTTAATATTTTTAACTTTATTTAAATGGAACTATTCAGTAAGTATTCTTTGGTGTCTGATTCTTTTGCTTAACATTGCAATTGTGAGATTTATTCATGTGCCACATGTAGTTTGCTCATTTTCATTGCTGTATAATAATCTATTGTGTGTGCACTACAAATTATGCATTGTAATGTGGATGGACATTTGAGTTTGGGTAATGAAATTGTGCTGGTGTTCCTATATGTCCTTATTTATGGTTGGTATATGCCGGGATGTGAAATTGCTGTCACTGTGTATGTATATATTTGGTTCCTAGTGGAGACTGTTCATTTTCCCAAGTGGTGGTATCAAGTTCCACTCCCACCAGCAGTGTATGAGAATTCCTGTTGCTCCACATTCTCACTAATGCTTGATAGTCAACCATTTTAGTTACAGCTATTCTATTAATGACTTTTTACTTGCATTTCCCTGGTGACTACAGAGATTGAGAACCTTTTCAATTGTTCATTGGCCATTTCAAATATTCTCTTTTGCAAAGTGCCTGTTGAGTTCTCTTGTCCATTTTTCTACTGATTGGTTGTCTTCTTTTCTTTTATATTCTGAAGTTCTTGACATATTGTGGATGTAAGACTTTTGTCAGTTATACATGGTGCAAATGATTCTCCCACTTTTATACTGATAAACAACTTGTTAGGTTTAATGTCCAATTTTCATTCTTTTTCTTTATAATTAGATTTTTGTATTCTATTGAAGAAATTTCCCTATTCAAATAGCATAAGGATATTCTCCAAAGTTGCTTTCTAGTAGCATTTTTTGTTTTGATGTTGATATATATATATCTATTCTCCACTTGGAAATGATTCCTGTGTATGATGTGAAGTAGGAGTCACGTTTTAATTTTTTCCACATATGTATGTAACTAAACGGTATCACCTATTGAAAAGATTAAAATTTCCCCTCAGCTCTGTGGTGCAAACTCTGTCATAAATAAAGGGGCTCTGTATGTATAAATCAAGGGTCATATTCTGGACTTTATATTTTGTTCCCTATTATTATAGCTTTACCAATAACAAATTGTCTTATTATAGCTTTATAGTAAGTATTGATATACAGCAGAGTAAGTACTCAGACTTTGTTGTTCTAAATTGTTTTTGCTTTTCTTGGCCCTTTACATTTCCATATAGTTTTAGAATCATCCTGTCAATTTAAAAAAATGCCCTGCTACCCTGGCTGGTTTGGCTCGGTGGTTACAGCGTCTGTCCGTGGACCAAAGAGTCGCGGGTTCGATTCTGATCAAGGGCACGTAACTGAGTTGCAGTTTGGTCCCAGCCCTGGTAAGGGTCATGCAGGGGGTAACCAATCGACATGTCTCTCTTTTTCTCTCCCTTTCCTTTCCACTCTATCTGAAGATAAATTGAAAAATATCCTCGGGTGAGGATTTGAAAAAAAATTAAAAAATAAAATAAAATAAATGCCCTGCCCTGGCTGAGTGGCTCAGTTGGGTTGAGCATCATCCCATACATGTAAAGGTTTCGGGTATGATTCCCAGTCAGGGCACTTACCTAGGCTGTGGGTTCAATGCCTGTTCGGGGTGCATATGGGAGGCAACTGGATTGATGTTTCTCTTGCACAACAATGTTTCTCTCTCTCTCTCTTTTAAATCAATAAGCTTATCCTGGGGTTAGAGGAAAAAAAAAAAATTTCCTGGAATTTCAATTGGATTGTTAATATTTTTGTAATATTGGAGTATTTCAATACATGATATATCTTTTTATTTATTTAGTTAATTCTTCTCTAATCTCTCTATAGTACTTTGTAGTTTTCAGCATAGAGATCTTGTATGTTTTTTATTAGATTTATTCTAGGGTATTTAGTAGTGTTTGGTACTATTATAAATTGTTTTAAATTTAATTTCCTATTTGTTGCTGGTATATAAAAAGGCAATTGCTTTTATCTCAATTTAAACTTATTTTTAATTTACCAGCAGTAAACTTTACTCATTTTGGTATAAAAGTCTATGAGTTTGATACATGCATAGTTATGTAATCACCATCATAGCCAAGGTACAGAACAGTTTTATCACCTTCCCCCAACAACAACAAAACAACCTACAAATTTCCTCATGCTATTCCTTTGCAGTCATATTTTTCCCTTGCCCTTAATCCCTAACAATAATGGCCTGTTTTCTGTAGCTATAAGTTTTCTTGAATGTCATATAAGTGTAAGTATACAATATATAGCCTTTTGAGTCTACCTTCTTTCACTTAGTATAATGCATGCGAGATTCATCTACATAGGGGAGGGAAGCTGTGCTTCAATCTTTGTGGGGGCTTGTCTATTTGTTTCATCTTTACTCTTCTCATATAGCTCTCAGGTCCTCAACCAAAAGCCAGGATTATTTATGAGGGATAAAGTCTTTGGTGGGCCCTGACTTCCCATTTCCCTACCCTCTCCAACCCATGAACATGTCAGGATTATTTATGAGGGATAACGTCTTTGGTGGGCCCTGACCTCCCATTTCCCTACCCTCTCCAACCCATGAACATGTCAGGAGCTCTGCTCAGCTTAGTCTGTCATCCCCAGGTTTCACTTTCAGAGTCAGTATTTGCCTTGCGGGGTAAAGCTGTCCTATATGTCACTCTCGCCTTTCTTGGTTCGTCTCCTCTTCCAGATGCCAACCCTGCAAATTCTTACCTGTGAAATTTCTTATGCATTTAAACAGTTTAAAAGATATATTTTGCTGAGCTTTTCTCATTTTTCTTAGAAGGTGGTTAAAATACCCTAGTCAGCCATTGTTGAAAGTGGAACGTTTGTTATTGCTCCAAGGGAAAATGATTTTAGGGTAGAAGAGTGGAATCAGGATAGTTAAGAACTATTTTAGTAATCCAGGTGACACTGATGTTGTGCTGTCAAGGGTAGTGTCAGATAAGGAGAAAATTGGACATATTTGTTATAAATTTTGGAAGTAGAAATGATTAACTGATAGTTGTGGGGTGAAAAAAAAAAACAAGTATCATGGATGACGTTTAGGTTTGGGGCTGAAATCACTAAATAATGTTCAATGAGGGAGAGTGACAGCAAAGTAGTTTGGGGAGGGTTAGGTAAGAATAAATGTGCAAATTAAAAAATACACCCTCAGCGTGTCTGGTGTGGCTCAGTGGATTGAGTGTCGTCTCATGAACTGAGAGGTCCCAGTTCGATTCCCAGTCAGGGCACATGCCCAGGTTGCAGGCTCCATCCCCGGTTGGGGGCGTGCAGAAGGCAGCTGATTGATGTTTCTTGCTCACATTGATGTGTCTGTCTCTCCCTAAAAAAATCAATAAAAACATATTTTTTTTTAAAGTGAGTAAATTTCTCTGCCACCCAGACATTTCTGTTTAAAAGAAATAAATATAAAAAATGCTCCCTTCAGTATGCATTTTTACCTATGTGAGCAGAGATTCTGTCCCAAACAGGGAGAACTCAAAAGGTATTCAGAGCCATCGTTATAATTTTTTATAGAGCTTTCATTGGGAATTTTTGTACCTTTATTTATAATAGATATTCATCTGTATTTTTCTTATAGTTATTTTTTAGATGAGTTTGAAGAAAATTGGTGTTAGTATTTCAAATGTTTGGTAGAATTCTCAAGTGAAGCCATCTGTTCCTGGCTTTTTGGGGAAGTTTTTTTGATTACTAATTCAATCTTTTTACTTGTTAGAGACTTATTCCGATTTCATATTTCTTCTTGAGTCAGTTTTAGTAGTTTGTGTATTTCTAGGAATTTGTCCATTTCATTTAGATTATCTAATTTATTAGTGTATGGTTCATACTATCCTCCCATAATCCTTTTTAGTTCTGTGAAGTCAGTAGTAATGTCCCA